ATTAGATTTATGTGTCAGATCTCCAAGAAATGCTTTGTATAACATGGGAGGCTTCAGCCTCTTCAGAAGAGAGCTGGCACTGAGCAATATCTGGCTGTTCTATGTAATAGGGTGCCTGTGGAGCGGGATCTGTTGCTCTAGTTTATATAGCCTATTTATTGTCTTGTGTCTTTAGTCTGGCTTATCCATCTATCTGGCCATAAGTACCCCGGAAGTCCTTTTACCTTCCTATTGCTCATTGTTATCAGACCCAGCTAATACTTATTAAAGTGTCTAGGATTTCATGCCAAATACAAAATTATACCTACTTGATATGCAAAACCTTTATCACAGCTTTCTTGCAGTCCTTAACTCTTGGAATAAAATCACTAACTGCATGTGGATCCAGGTACCAGTACATGCTGGGGGCCACCCTGCTGGAAAGCAGCTTTGCAGAAAAGGACCTGGGGTCCTGGTGGATGTCAAGTTGAACATGAGCCAACAATGTACCCTTGCAGCCAAGGTGGCTAAAGGTATCCTGGGCTGCATTAGGCAAAGCACTACCAACAGGTTGAGGGAGGTGATCCTTCCCTTCTACTCTGTGCTGGTGAGGCCACACCTGGCGTACTGTGTCTGGTTCTGGGCTCCCTGATACAAAAGAGACATGGGACATGCTGGAGAGAGTCCAGCAAACAGTCACTAAGGTGATGAAGGGACTGGAGGGTGCTCCGGTCCTCCTATGATGAAAGACTGAGAGAGCTGGGACTGTTCAGCCTGAAGAAAAGGCTGAAGGGGATCTCATCAATGTGTATAAATACCTGAAGGGAGTGTGTAAAAGAATATTTTCTTCTTTTCCTAGAAAGAAAACAAAGCCTTGCGCACTTCTTCATGCTTACAGAGGCAGAAGGTGATAGTTCTGTCCCATTTTTCCTTCTTCTGAAGGCCAAGAAGCCAAAGTGAAATGGCATATTCCACATACCTAGTTATGGTAAAGCTCGCTCGCTTGCAGGCAGTCCCCAGTGTGCTTGTTCTCTTACTTTTGTACCCTTGCATTACTTCTACAGGGACTAAATGTCATTCTGTTGTGAACCATTTAATCTTGCAGCAGTATTGATCACATTTCAAACTTTTCTATCCCTCCTGCTAATACAAAGACAAGGACAGCTAAGACGCTTCTGCTGACTATTGCAAGCTTTTAAACCACCATAGAGACTTGCCCTAGCAAATTTTGACAGGCCAGTAGAAAAAAAACAATTTTAATAAATTCATTATTATGTAGCTTCCCAGTTTGGCAAAACCTTGCTGCTGTTCTGGGCTTGCCCCCAGCAGAAAATGGAGAAGTAGAATAAATAGAGGTAGGAACATATCCATAATACCTATGTGGGTCCAGGCTTCTCCTTGCTATTTTCAAATTTGGTTTGAGAACTTTTCAGCCCTACTGGTACTCATGTAGAGAGGATGCAAGTGGCATGTGCCCAAAGGATCTGAGAGAAACTCCTCTCCTTTGCCCAAGATAGGGGAGATTTTACAACTACTTCTTGTGATATCTGGTAAATCTTGAGTGAACCTGGTCATCGAGAGTTAATAGAAATGTCACCAAGCCCAGGAAACACAATGCTGTATTGGAGCAATGCTCGGGTTTGTGGGGAAGTACCTGCAAGTGGAGCAAATTGTCTGCTTGATTATGTTCAAATAGCATTCCAGTTTCTACTTGTGTTAATGTCATCAGAAGATTTATTAGTTTTATGTGTGTCTTAAATCTCCCTCTGCAATTGCAAGTCTGTTTACCTTCAGCAATAGCTCCAGGAACTCTAGATCTTATTTTTCTTTTTCCTTTGCCAATGTGCAGAATTGGAGTGGTGGGGAGTGAGGGAGAAGAGGGGGTTTGACTCCTGTGAGGCAGAAGTCATTTGACTGAAAATGAAGTCCTGCCTTCATCAGTACAAACTGTCACGAGGTGGGGTCTAAGGCGATGTGTAAATTCTGAGTTAGTTAACTATTTTCAGCTTTTGAATTTGGGCATACTTGAAAAGGTATTTTCTAAATGACATCTTTCAAGATATTAAGAACACTTGCACCATCTACCCTTTTCTTACTCTCCCTCCTTGCCCCCTATTTTCCCATCCAAAGACTCTTTAGAGTAAATTTTCTGTAGTTTAAGAAATCCAGCACAGGCAACCTGGGGCATTCTGTATTCTAGTGTATGAAAATAAAGGCATCTTTGACATTGCTTAACAGATTTACCAAGCAAAAGAACCCATATTTGCTGTTCAGTTGTATAGTGTCCACTCACAATGTTTGTTGAAGCCAAAATATTTAATTATTTCAATATGGGTGAAAGTTAACGCTGCTTGGAAAGCAGCTACGTATTTCCCACTGCACCAAAGCTATCTAAGCGTGTTTTGTGACCATCTTTGTTCCTGCAGCTGGGATGCATATAGTGCACTCAGGCTTTTTGCAGGCATAAAGTAACTTAAAAGACTAGACTGTAGGTCATAGATAATTGTGTGCTAATAGCCGATAGCTGTGTGTAAATAGGGACAGGGAGAGGGTGACAGCTTTGGCTGGAGAATATCTGTGTCTCTCTCTAAGGTGTTTATATAGAGACCTGGTCATCTCTCCCCCAAAATGTTAACTGCCTGGGCGTGGAGGGGAGCTGTGTGCTACTCAGTCCATCAGCTTCTTCCCTTTGGGTCTGGGCGCCCTTCACACCTCCAGACCTCAAATGCTGGCAGATCTTAATGTTAACTGTATGTACTGGGAAACTGAACTCATTAGCTCAGACTGAAGGTGGAGTAACACAATGAGATAATGGCCCAGTGACAATGGAAACAGATACTTCAGTGCATCTCTTATAAGGTCAGTTGCTCTGTGAGGAAATAACAAAAAAAAAAAAAAGTCCCAGTATGCTTATAGCATGCAAAATGACTGGAGAACTGGTGTTTGATATAACATTTAGTGCACTGTTGCTGGACAGTGGAAGAAGTCAAAGAATCTTTTCAGGGATAATAGATCACAGATTGTGTCTATTGCATACTTTGGATGTCCTTTGGGACTTTTAGGAAGTTCATCTGCAGACCATAGCAGAAATAAATGAAGCTACTTTGATTGTTCTCTACTCAGGTGAATTCCTGTGATCCACTGTAGCTGCCTCAAATATTTTTTTTTTTTGGAAGGGGATGGCATTGTGTGTTTACTTGCCTGCTGTCGACCTGCCTGTTTTAAGGCTACTTCTCATTTCAGCACTACTTTCTTATGACAAATTACTGCCTTGGTGAGAACTCTCTCTCTATCCTTTTCTATTCAGAGCCTGTAGGCTGTGGAAAGACACTGCACACAGTTTTGGACATGCATTGAGTTTACCAGGAGAAAAATCTAGTTATGTACCTTCGTTCACTTTCAATGCTTCTCTTTTTATCTTCTGTAAGAGCTTGTGTGTTGAAAGTGCATTTTTAATTAAATTATTTGCATCTTGTATATGCACAATACATTCACTTTGAGGGCATTTTTATTACAGTAGGAGGGTGGTGATACGTAATAAGTCTCAAGAATAATTAAAACCTGTGTTAACTTGTGTACGTTTTCGGTAGTGATTGAACTTTGTGTTGAGTCTCTGCTGGGTCCAAGATCAGATCTTAATCAAGGAGGAAGGAAGCAAGGGGTGACAAGGGAAGGAAGAGTTGGTTGTAGGTACATCTAAGTTCTTACCAGTTGAAGACAAACCTCACCTGTCATGTTTATTAAAAAAAAAAAAGTATACTGCCTCCAATTTTAGGTATTTAGCACAAGATAGTTTCTGTGCTCAACACTTATTGAGGGAGAAACACAAAGTGGGATAATGTTATGAATCAACTTTTGAAGATACTTTCACCTCTCCTGTATATGGATATAGCCTCAGAGTTTTGTTCAGACAACCTTTGTTTACACTGAAGGGGAAAAAAGCAGAGTAACCTGAGAAGGCTTTAACTACATCATGATGTGACAGAGCAAAGATTTAAATAACTAGGGATTTCTAGAAGAGAATATAATAAATCATTTTTCTCTTTTACTTCAAGGAGGTAGAAATACCTGTCAGAATTGGCAAGATGCATGATTTTGATCTGAAATTTTGACTTTTCGAGCACTAAATAGTCATTAGGGGTTTTTTATCAATGTGTTTTCTACAGTCTAGTTTTGGAAAGGCAGGGGAGGCTGGGTCTTCCAAGTCCCTTCCTATGAAAGATGAAGATGGTTAAAAATTCTTGAGCACCTGAAGACCTGAACAGATGTTAAAAAATTGACTTGCTGAATCTGTGGAAATGCCAATAACTACACTTGCTTCCCTAAAACATTGTCAACGAGTGCTTTGCATTCATCATGGCATACTAGATTCAAAGATGGGATAAGAAAGGGGCCTGATTCAAGGACAATGATTGGAGTCCTCTTGAATAAAATACTTTGGAAAAGTGTTAATTTGTCTGCCTTTACTGAAAAGTACAGTTTTATGTTGGCTTGTAGATGGTTTGACTTTGCCAGGGACAGCAGGTGAATTAACGTTAATCGCACTAGCTTTGCCAAGGATTCTATGACGTCCTACTCATACCTAATGTATGTATGTACCTATGTACAAGCTGAGGCGTGTACCATTGTTTTGAAATGGATAGTAGTTCTGAAGATGTCCCTAATATTAAACCAAACTGAAGAACTGCACTGGAGGTTAAATGCTAGTTCAGTCTGGAGGAGTGTGCTTGGTCTCTGGAAGAGATCTATTTGGGTTAGACTGGTAAATCAAGTAAAAGCTTATCTGATTAAACCCCCCTATTTAAATGTCAGAGCACCTGCACTACTTTTTCTTAGGTGAAGCAAGTTTTTAATATTTCATAAAATTATTGTTGGTGAGTATACTAGGCTAACCTTCACAAAAAACTTGAGTGATTATTTTGGAAGTTTGAACAAAGGGGGAAAACCTGAGAGGGACAGACACTTTTCTTTTTCATGCTGCCAGGGTTTTCCAAGAATGACTGTAAACTGTTTTCTTACAGGTTGTGTCAAATGCTGCTGGACAGGGAGTTGCCATCACTGGGAACAATACTTTCAACAACTGGAATTGGCCTAATGCTGTGATCTTTGCTGCTACTGTGATCACTACAATTGGTAAGTATTTATTATGTCAACTTTCCTAACTGTAGTTTTCTGTATGCTGTAGTGTGTTTGTACTCTTCCATTTATGTGTCAAGCTAGCCACTGGATAAAGTGCCCATGGCTGGAGTTACCTAAAGTACATGTTCACCTGCAGGTTCATAGAGGAAAAAAACAGGGTTTTGGCACTGTCTGCATGGGTATACAGAAAAGAAGTGTGTGCCTTTCCAATAAGTAATGGATTCAAGGTGCTGTTGGGGATGACTGGTGTCATTCCAGTTCCATTAATTCATGCACTTAAATTTCCAAATCATAAAATCCCCAAACAAAAGCATTACAAAGCATTCAATTAAACTAATACTTAAAACATGTGCATATGAGGTTTTTGTATACCTGTCCTGTTATTCACGTTCATCCTCTTAAGCTACTGAATTATCAGTGTTCTTGGCTTGCAGAACAATCTAGACTTTTTATTTATCTCTTTAAGAAGGCAAAGTAAAACAAGTGTTGTCTTCTACTACACTACTGATTTGTGCTTGTAAAACCCTCTTCATTGAAAGACTTCTTACTCCTTTGATGTACAGACTTTCAGAGCTCAACATCATCTGCCTTCTCCTTTTACAGAAAAATCCTTGCTATGTGGTATTGCTACACCCTTGCTACACCTACAGTGCAAAAAAAAGGAATGCAAAATAACCAGACAAGGCTGGAGGTATACAGAAATGGAAGTCTTACTGTTAAACCATATGCAGTACTCTGGTTTTCTTTATTATTTGAAACTCACAATACCCAGCTTATAACGTAACTTAAGACAAAAAGTTGAAGTCAGGAACACACCTAAATAAAAAAGCTCTGGCAGAAGTTCTGAAAATAGGCTGCTGATATTAGAGCCTGAGTCTGTAATGCTGTGCTGGGTTCTGTGACCAGCAAAGAACTAAATTCAGTTGAAATACCTTGCTATGTCACAAGTTACCTTGCACTTAACTATCAAACCCTTACCCTGGAAAGGTACCAGGTCACATGTTAAATGTGGATCTTCCATGTGGAAGCTAGCTTCAGGATGAATTTTGAGCTTTTATTATATAAAATTGAATCAATCAAGTTTTTAACAGTGCTGGCTAAGGTTGGGGAATCATATTAGAAGTTTTGAGATGAGCTTTATTTCATATTTATCTCATCTTGTCAAGAAAAAGATGCACAAAATCTAGGAAACACTTAAAATGCGGTGATCTTCTCAGCTTGCATTAATGGAATACATGTTTGCTAGAGTAGAATTGGAAGGCATCCAGATTTAGAGGATAGCAGCAGGAGTAGACTAAAGCTCTTAGAGATGGTGAAGTAAGGAGTGTCTGATACAGCAAAAGCCCACACAATATTGTTTTGTGCATAGGTGGAATTGCCTTGAATTCTCTGCACCAAGAACAGACGGTGCACATACTTATGTCTTTTAGGTTACGGAAACGTTTCTCCAAAGACACCCTCTGGGCGTCTCTTCTGCATATTTTATGGGCTCTTTGGAGTTCCTCTCTGCTTGACATGGATCAGTGCTCTGGGGAAGTTTTTTGGAGGACGTGCCAAGAGGCTGGGCCAGTTTCTGACAAAAAGAGGAGTAAGCCTGGTAAGGCCCTCGCTTGTTTACCCTCGTGCTATGTATTTTTTGATGCATGAATTAAGCTTACACTTCTTTACTTAACCTGCTAATCTTGGTACTAAGTGATCACTTGCACGAATATGAATTTTCCCAAATGGTGTTGTGTAGAAATAACTGAAAGGGGGATTGGGTCTGATACGTTAGTTCCACAAGAAGTTTTAGCAAAATGAGTTCTTGTAGAAACCTTTGATGCTAAATATAGATCTTGCAGCTTCTATGGAGACATGCATCTCCTTACATTAGAAACCTGTAGGACAAATGTAGGTAAGGCTCCATTTGACAGACGTTCTGTGCAAACTCCTCTGGCACGGAAATAAGCTGTCCTGCTTTGTTCCTACCTGCTGCTCTACTAGCATGAGTAATTCCTGCTGTGCAGTGAACCAACAAGAAAATAAGGTTTTGTTCTGAGTTACTGGCTTGTGGTTTTGTTGTTTGTGTCTTTTTGGTGTTGTTTTGGTGGTGGTCTCCCCCCCTCCCTACCCCCACCCCAATGAGTCCTATATCAGTTCTAACTCTCCACAGAGATGGAGGGCAATGCAGGGCCATAGTGCCTGGAGGACAGTGGGACTGGTTTAGGTCCTGGTTTCAGAAACAGAGCAAGAAATTTATTCGTTCAGCACCTGAGAAGAAAGTACAGAAAATGATGGTGAAATGCATGTGTGTGTGCAGCTTTGTGCAGAGGTTGCATGAGTGGCAAAGGGTAGGAGACATAAATAGGAGAGAAGCATCTTAAACACTTCTGATCCTCTATACTCAAGTGGATAAAAAGAAAGTCAGACGTACTGACTGCTTTTTAGACTAGAGTGTTATGTCTGTATCCCATGCCTATTTATAAAGTATCAAACTTTTCAGGAGTGTGAAAGAAAACTATTAGGAAATAATTCTGTTTGAGCAAGTAGTTGTAAGAGTAGTGGGTTCTGCATAAAGGAAAAAAAAGTTGTGTGTTTACTTCAGTCAGTGACTTTTAGTTATGGCTGATAAACTGTTAGCACAAAACTCTGAAATGTCTGATAGTGTCAGATGATGCTTGATGCCATGGATGGGAAAAGAAAATTTGGATAACTTTCCCTGACTTTTTTTTTTTTTCTTTTTTCTTTACAGAGGAAAGCACAAATTACGTGCACAGCTATTTTCATTGTTTGGGGTGTCTTGGTCCACCTCGTTATTCCTCCCTTTGTCTTTATGGTGACTGAAGGATGGGATTACATTGAAGGCCTCTATTTCTCATTCATCACTATCACCACCATAGGATTTGGAGATTTTGTTGCTGGTCAGTAATTGTATTTTATGTATTATTTCACTGCATGCATAGTGTCGCAGTTCTATTTCCCAACTTTAATTTGAAAAGGTGCTTTCTAAGCTTTTCCAAAACATTTTGCTGAAAAGAAGATTCAGTTAAAACTAGGTACTGATCCAATGGTCTAGATCTGGCTCTTCAATCTTGGTTTAGATAGCTAAGGCCTTTATTGGGCTTAGTCTGGAGCCAAGTTTTGGAGTTCGTAACTCTTTCAGGTGCCCCGTGTCCCTATTACAGGCAAGGAGCTATCCTATCCACCATGATAGTTGTGTACCTTTGAATGGAATCCAGTATACTAAGCAGGGTGCATAAGTACTGGGCAATGCTCTCTGTGCAGCTGTCTAGAACTAGTCAACAGGAAATGCTGAGCATACTGGTGTCTCCCTCCTAAATCTTGTCTTTCTCTAAAATCCACTGCCTTGTTCAGGGCTTTGGAGATGGTCCTTGTAAGTGGACTTATAAAACCTTTTCTCAAGGAAGGTGCCTATATCCGTACCTCAATGGCAAGGGAGAAGGCTTATAATTTTCAAACAGGAAAAAAAGTTTACTTTTATAGCTTACAAGGAGAGGACAAGTATGTTGCCATTTGATGTTGTAGTCCAGTGGTTAGAATACATGCAGCCAAGAAGTGGAAGACCTGGGATCAACTTTTACTTTCAGAAGGGTTTCAGATCCCCACTTATCACCTCTCAGAGCAGTGTTCAAACAACTAGGCTCTGTTAGTGTGGAAGGGAGTAGTTCTCAGGGTCATAACTTCAAAGGCTTATCAGCTGCGAGTCGTCTTTCAGTAATGTTCTTGTTTTTAATTCTTTGTAGGTGTAAATCCAGATGCAAACTATCATGCCCTTTACAGGTATTTTGTGGAGTTATGGATCTATCTGGGACTAGCTTGGCTTTCACTCTTTGTGAACTGGAAGGTCAGTATGTTTGTGGAAGTCCACAAAGCAATCAAGAAACGGAGGAAAAAAAGAAAAGAGTCTTTTGACAACCATCCTCGGTCTAAAAAACCCCTTCAAATGGGTACCTCAAAGGACGTCAACATTTTCAGCTTCCTTTCAAAGAAGGAAGAGACCTACAATGATCTTATTAAGCAAATTGGGAAGAAGGCCCTGAAGACAAACAATGACAAAATGATTAAAGTAGAAAATGCCAAACAAAACTTGCAGAATGCCAGTATAGATGCCCAGGTGACTTACACAAAGACAGAGTCATTCGAGTATGATGAGGCTTCCCTGGACATTCAAAAAGGTCATGTACTGAGACCCCTGCATGATAAACGTATTGGAGATAGCCCATTAGAAGGAACCATGTTTGTAAACCAGCTGGACAGGATTAGTGAAGAAGAAGGTGAAGTGTGGGATTCCAGAGACTATCGACCCTTAATATTTGAGAATGCCAATATAACATTTGTAAATGAAGATGATGAGGAAGAGGAAGATATCTCAGATGATGAGGAAACATCGAAATCCTCCATGGATGATAATCTTGCAGAGGAATCTGAAACTGCAAAAAACCTGGTAAAATTCCCATCCTCTGATGAATCTACCTTTACGAATAATGAGTTAGAACTTTCTGTGCCTTATGAACAACTGATGAATGAATATAATACAGTAAGCACTGTGAAGTCTGCAACGTGAAGCATGTTTGACAATGGTTGTCTGGAATTGATCAGTACATATTGAACAAATTAACAGAGCAAGGAGAAAAGCATGTTTTTACAGCTTTTCCTGTCTCTTTGAAAACAAAAGCAAGTCCCAAACTAATAAACTCCAGTGTTTTTTTCCCACCCTGAGTTGGTTTCTGAGCCCATCAGCTTTGCTTATCTGAAAAACTTGTAAAATAACAGTTGAATTTGGAGTCCTGCTTCTTCTTGGGGTTTTATGGTTCTTGAACAAAGTAGAAAAGAAAAGACTAGTTAATACACTGGACCTGCTCTGCTTTTATGCATTTCATTGAGGAATTAGTTTGGGAGTGTAATTATGCTGTTGCAAAGAGACTGTTTGGCGCATCAAATGTGTTCGGTTACTCCATTAGCCTTTCACCTCTGAAAACCTGGATTTGAATCCTGCTTTGATTGCAAATGAAAGCAAGGGGGTTTTGTGGTTTGGGTTTGGGGGGGGGGGGTTGGTTTGGTTTTTTTTAAAGTTGCCCGTTGTGAAATTGTTACCACAAAAAAATGGTGCAATCACTAGTTGCACTTAATGAGAAACTTTAGATGGAATACTAGGACACACAGATCTGAGCTGAGGTGTGCTGGCAGACTGAGGAGGAAGCTTCTGAAACATCTGTCTAGAATATGTCAGTGCTTGTCAAATCACAGTCAATTGTAATTTCATAAATAAAATATTAACATAAAAAATTCCAAAGGAATGGATTGAGGAGCCCTCTAACAAGGAAGAATCATCTGGGATGAAGCTCACCAATTGGGCTGCTAAACTGCACATCAGCCCCAGAACTGTTAAAGAGTAAAATGACTGGAAGACCTATTGATCAAAGCGTGTATGAGCACAAGCAGGATGCAATGAACTTTTCTAATGTTGAAAGTGTCCTTCCACTGTTCGTTTCCTAGAGGAAATACTTGAATGAACCTTATACAGTATCTATGTACAGGTGAAGTTTTATTGACACTGTTCTTCTGAGGAAAACATCACCTTGGGAGGCACAGATATTCTCCAAATGCCCTAATGCCTGTCAGAAGGGACCTGTAGCACTACTGCGGATCTGTGCAGTGTGTTAGTCAGTATTGTTATTTGATGTTCCTCCCTGTCATGGTACTTCAGACTAGACTTGAATGAGAGATGGTTTTTGAAACAGTTGATTACACTTTGCTTATTTGTTTTGTTTTAAAGTTTGACCTATGTGCATATACAATGGTTATTCTATCCCACTTTCAAGAAGGCTGGGCAATGTCAAATCTTGGACAAACTGAGATGTGATCAAGTGACTTAAGGCCATAAGGCACTTCTTTTAAAGAAACTTTGGCTCTAAGCTCCTGAAAGTATTATCTTTTGGCTTGGAGATGGGCTTCTCATTGAGAAGGAAGTATGTTTCTTCATAAAATTTATGCCCAAATTGTTTTGGCTACAAAGAAAATTATTCCATGGTTTTATTTTTCTTTCTTTTTCCATATCTATATGTTAACCCTGACAACTCTTGCAAATGAGGCTCTTGATTGTATGTTGGCAAAAGGTACTGACTTCAGTTGTATCCAATATACTTGGAAGAGAAAATAGCCAAGACCTTTGAACCTTAACATGTCAAGTTCTATGTTCTATTTAGTTTTACAGTATTCAAGTCGTTCCAGTATGTCTAAAAGTTTCCAAAGTTCAGTGAACAGTTAAAAGTTGTCTCATTCTCGTTTCAGTGTGATGCTGGCAGACTCACTAGCTCTGTAAGAAGAGCTTATGGAATATTGCAATGCTAATCTTGAATTACTAGCTATTTCTAATAACTGCAAATATTGGCTGCAGCTTCAGTTGCTGGCCTCTTCCACAGAAAAAGGAGGACATATGGGAAACTAGCACTCTGGTTGGATAGCCTGTTGATGGGAAGTTTTGAAGTTATCTACTGTGAAACAAGGGACTGTCTTTACTAATCTTTTTTTTCAGAATTTTCCGCATATATGACATTTTTTCAAATAGAAAGTGAACACAAAACTAGGGCCAACTCTATTATACTGGCAAAAGTGTGGAATCGACATAATTAGATTTGGTAGTTAATCCATATTTTATGGTAATATCGCTGAAGAGACATTCTAATTTGAAATCAAATTTTATTATATTACTGCTTTTCGGAGCGAGGGTGACTGGATGAATTTGACTTCTATCTGACAGGAAAGAGAGAGAGGCCCTATCAAGAAGATTCTGATTTACTTATTATAGACACCCCAATCCCCATCATTTTAAAGTAACTCCAAGCCCTTCAAGTATTTCTATATATCTGAAGGGTTGTGGTTGACAGCTATACCTTGTAACTGTAAGAAATCGTAGGTAAGACAATGCATGCATGATACACAGGATGGATGCTTGTGTAGCAAGTCTAGCCTTTTTTGTTGTTGTTGTTTAAAAAAGTGCACATTAACTTAAAAATAATGAGAAGACACTCCATATAGCTTTTGTTCTCCAACTTGTCTTCCGTTATTGACACAAAGGTCAAAGTTTTAATGACAGTTAGAAAGCTACAGGACAGCGAGGAGAGAAAAGGCTTGCTGAAAGTGCATGAAATGGAAAAGCATAGTCCAATCTTCATTTTAAAAAAAAGAAAAACAACTGTCTTTAATACAGAAATAATACAACCCAGACATTTGGCTGGGCTACTTTGATTGGGAGAGGATTTTGCACACTGGAACCCAGACTCTCCATTCTCCGTAGCGAAGTGCACTTGTACGCCAGAGCTGAGAATGGATGGGATCTGTTTCATATTATCAAGTTAGATGTGGCTCTCTGGCCTTTCCCAGTGTAGTCAGCATAGACTATAAGTCTGTATAATAAGTATCATGGGATTTAAAGTAATAGTTTAAATTTATTAAAACAAAGTACAATATTCCCACTTTTTTGGGAAACATGATCACACCTCACTAAACTGTTCTCAAGACATCCCACTATGTGCCTTAATCTAATCCTAACACTGGGAAAAAATTCCTCTTTACACAGAGGCCAACACAATTGGTGTCATTAAGCCCTACTTGTTTTCAGTGTTTTGGAGGGGTTTAGTTGGCGCATAGCTTTCATACTGGCTCCCTCCAAAAGTTGAACCATTTCCCAGAGTTTTTAAAATTATGGTGCCATCTTAGAACTGCCAAAGTGCTAAGCAAGACAGCCTTTTGCCTGCCTGTCTTCCATGCCTTGAGAAAAGCAGCTGCCTGGGAGATCTAAATTAATGTCTTTTTGCCTTCATATTTACATGTAGTGAGTTAGAGGGGTGTCCAGGCTGGATTTGAGCTATTCAGCCCCAAAAGTGCCTCTAAGTTAATTCCCCAGTGCTACTTGGTAAGGTCTTGTAGTTATTTCAATTATCTGGTCAATCTGGAAACATTTTCTTTGGATGCCATATAAGATTTCATTTAGCTAACCAATAATGTTAACAGCTCTCTTAATGCTATGGAATTGGTTTTATAGGTGAGACAGATCTCTTCCTGGAAAGAAAGGAAAGGAGATTTTTAAAAAAGAACAACTGAAAAAAAAAACCACCCCACCAAAAAAACACTTAAAAGCACATATAAGGAAGGGATGGAATAGAAGTAGAAACTCTTCTTTCTAGCTATTGCCTACAAGTAGATTGTATTTCCAGTCACATCATGTGAAGCATGGGTCCACTTTCACAATATAAACTTAATAATTTTGCCAAGATGAGCCAGTACTTAAAAAAAATAAAATAAAAAAATCCTGAAATGTGACAACAGAAGTCTGTTCCTACAAAAGCCCTTTTAAGTGCTATAGACTGTGTGACCCCATCCTTCCTGACATCATTGTGATGCTTCTTGGTTTTGTCTTGTGCTGTTGAAGCCTATTTTTACCAGCAGGGCATCATTTCCAGATACATATCTCACAGCGGGCAGTCTAACACATCTGATACACTGGTACGAAATCACTGAGGAAATATAAAAAGTGGTCTGTTAAATTTTCCTGAACTAATGATTTTTGAATCTGTTGCTGGCAATGGATGTCACAAAACATGCAGAAATATAACCATAGACTGATAACAGATCCATGGTGACACAGTTGTGTGTGTTTGTTGAGATTTTTTTTTTCTTTTTCTCCAGTTGATCTGTGAGAGTGTGTGTAGAGACAGACAAGCGTCACTGATGAGGAGAGCAAAACAAGCAATATATAAGTCTGACCTAAACAAAAATACCCCAAGAACTCTGTAGACTTGTAATTTTTGTGCCTCGTAGGATTTATTCCATTTGTGATGGATTTATCTTTTAAAAAATTAGCTTGTCTCTCATATGGCTTTTGAAGTTTGTACAGTTCTGACTTATCACTCCATAATATGTCTGTCTGTTCTTTGTTGCTGATTGTCACTGGAATCACACTGTATGTAAATATTTGCTAAGTCTTTGTAAAATGTAATTTATTTTAATATTTTGCAATAAAAATTTTACAATTTTTCCTCTCTGTCATGAGGAGAATGGCAATCAAGAAATGAGATGTCTTTTTACAACTCCGTACACTTGTAATGCACCTCACAGATGAGACTGGTCCTGGTCCAAAGAGCTCGAAGGTAAGGAGCCAATAAAGCAAGTTGTTTTATGGAAGCAGATGCCTGTACTTGTATGGTGTATCAATGACTTCAGTTCAACGGCATCTGATCTTCAGTTAGATATAGCATAGGAAAGTATTATTCAATGAGGATTTTGGACAGCTGTTGAAAGGTAAACAAAAGGTTATTCTAGGGGCTGTGTTTTATCGGGGGGGCTGTTTTTAAAGAAGTTGCACTGAGACAAGAAGTGCTAGAATTGGTCAGTACTACAATAAAATGGGTGTTTGACTGCTATCTGAATATTATGCCAGAGCTATTAAAATATCTGAGTAGATGTTTATGAATTTTCACAAGATTTGTAGCAGCAGTGCTCACCATTTTGCAAGCTGGAAGTATTTGCAGTCCTTCAACTCCAGCAGTTTCCTTAAAACACCTTGGAAAATAGATTGCTACCTACCTTAATGGGTAGCAAAATGTGACGTGGTGATACCCATGATAGAGATGGAGCCATCTGCAGAAATTGAGACAACCTCAGCATGAGGGCAAAGAGACTGAACCTTGGCTTTTAGGCAACTGAATGAAATTGCTGAGGCCTGAGCTAGGAAAGTGGGGAGATGCATAGGCACAGGAAGGAAGGGTGGATGCTGTCACAATTTGAGTAAGGGTAGCTGATCTCTACATTTTCCTCCAGCCCCACAACAGAGGAGTAGTGGAGGAGGAAGAGGTGCCTGATGGGTGACTGATGCCCAAAACAGCCAAAAAGGGAGATGGGGTCCCCTCATGGAGCTGAGGGCAGGACATAACATCAAGTCTGGTAAGCACCTGATAATTCTATCTGCTCCCAGCAGGTTGGAGCACACAGACTATTCTTCACCT